TCAGAACGGATTAACCTTATTTACATTGAACCTTATGGGAAAATTTGATTTGGTTCGCGACCAATTCGGCTTGCGACCAGAATCGTGGAACGAATTAAGTTCGTGAACTGAGGTACCACTGTACAACTATGTACCCCATAATAAGCCACGAGGGGGGCTCACTAGCATGTTTACTCCCAGGGGTGTTTTTTTTACTATTACAATAAGGCAAAGGGTACTCTGGTTCAACTTTTAATTAGTTGCATATCAGATTGAACCAGAACAAACAGGAGCGACACAGGAAGTTCCTAATACACAAACACAAACAGCCCCAATACACCAACAACCCGTCCGCACAAAGACAAGCAGCTCCCAGTTCACAAACAGCCCATTGGGCCCACACCATAACCTGCAGATACTCCTGGCTCGTTTTGTGGCAAATAATTTCCGGAGCATCTTGTTATTTGCAGGACAAACAGAGGGGAGAAGATCGACATGCGTGTGATGACGGCATTTCCCAAATGCTGCGACTTATCTATTTCCAGACAATGCTGCAAGGTAGGTACCTAATGGTGGCATTTATATGACGATGTCACAACACGTGGACTGTTCTTTTGTGCCATTGGTTTGCTACAGAGGTTGTTACCTGTCAACTGCCCTCACTGTTGTGAGACAGGCAGCCATATAAACAATTTAAATATGTTAATAAATACACTTTGCTGCCCCAGCCTTTTACTCCTTCCTCAGTTCCGTATCAAAATGAATAAAAGAAGTTGCTCGGCCATCCTAAAATCCGTTGCCTTTGAACAAAAGGAAACATGATTTGATCTGGATCGTGTATTTTTATTTCTCATATACAAAAGCACCTACCAAAAAAAAATAATAATAAAGCCCATCTTCTGCATTTTTTAAATCTTCTTGCTCCTTCGGGTGAATGTGGCTGAGCCGGAGGAGATGGTCTGTGGGAGAGGAATGAAGACAGAATGAAGTCTTTGAAATTAAAATGCCTTCTCTAAGCATGACAAAATGCATTTCGTCACAAGCAAGCTCTGTAAAACCACAGCAGGCAAGAACTGGGAGGAAAATTAATATATCTTAGGATCAATGGCATTTTAAAAGGTGGGAAACTGCACCGGTTGAAAAAAAACAGGAATTTTATTTATTTAAGAATTTCATTCCACTCTGATTTCTGTTTTTTAGTTTTGGTAACAAAGTTTCTCTGGGCATTTTTTTTTTTTTTACATCAATCAAACGTAGATGCTGACAAACTCTGTTTTTGTTTCTTTCTCTTTTTGCATCCCCCCCACACTTTATTCTTGAACACTATTTTTCCCTATCTTCTAGGTTGTCTTGGATTCATTAATAGGAAAAAAAAAAACCGGGTTGGTCACTAAGTTCCATGGCAAGACAATTGATTCATAAAAAGAATTCCACTACAAAGATGCCCCAAGAAACTTTTAAATATCTTTGGACTTTTGCTTAATGAGGCAGTGCCCTGCTGTAGGAAGTAGGCTCTGCATGTTTCAAAAATGATTAGGAAGAAACGCATTGGACTGAGTGCAAATGCAGAACTCCTTTGCACAGGTGTGCCCTTCTTGCTGCAATAGTGGAAAAGGATGACATACGTAACAGTGATATCACAATACAAGCCCCACCCTTTCATGGTTGTATCTTGACTCAACTGGACTCAATTACATAAGCCGTGGGGTTTGTATTGGGACATCATGCACATGTTTTATCACTTGCTCCCCCCTCCTGTGAACATCTGTGCCTCTCTGCTATTCATTACTACTCTACTATTCTTTTTTTTTTAATCCATTCAATTGTGACTGATGCTTCGGAGGCTGCCTGCACAAGTCCTACTGTTTGACACGTACTGGTGGGGTTTACTTTGTTGTTTTGCCACAGCTAATAAACCAAGACTCCTTTGAGTTGACCTCCACGCCTGACGCCTATATGAATACACCACGCAGTTTTCTTGGCAACGGTATACCAAGTGTAGCGTGTAAGGAAGATGACCTTGCTGGAAATATGCAGGAATCGTTACTTAGGTAAAAGGGATGCAAACATTTTTAAGTCCAGAACAAAAGGAGTTTACATTTGGAAGTGACTCAGGTGGACATCTCCCTAGTTCACTGAAGTGAAAGAAGACAGACTTGCAAGATTCTGTTATTATAGCCAATGTCAATAAAGGCAATTTTAGCCTTCCTAAGGAGTTGATTTCCTGATCTGGTCTACTTAGTGGGGCTGACAGAGAGTATCTAGCTGTCCTGTATCCTGTTAGCCTTTTTTTTCAATTTCAGTGATTCTTGGTCTTGTGTCATGTATCTGCAAATCTAAGCTTTAGTTTCATAATTCGTGCTTCCAATGAGCAGTCTGGGTTTACTTCATTCTTCTTGTGCTCCCAAGAGAGGTCAACCTTTTTCTCCAGCACATTTCAGCCTAGTGTGTGGTAAAAGCCCAGCTTGAATGTCATGCAACAGAGAACTGGATTAACAGAAGAAACTGTGGTTCCATATTAGCCAGGGGTGTGTCAGTTAACCACAGCCATTTGAATGAACTCCTTAGTTACCTCCTTGGGGGAAATTAACTTTTCATTCTCCCTGTCTACTAAACTATGAACATTGACTTACCTCCACCATTTCATTGCCTACAATTTGCTGCTCGTGGGTGAATTTGTCTGACTTGGCTATTAATTTTCCATCGACGAGATTTACTGTGCACTGTAAAACAATGAAGCCATGACTGAACATGGATCAAACAGCAAGCAACTAACACCACCAGAAGCTGCAAAGATAATATTATAAAAAGATCTTTGGAAAAAAAAATGAGCCTGCAGTTACAACTTTGAGTTAGTAAAATGCAGAGATGCTTTTCCAAAGATTGCAGTAGAAAAGGTGTCCTACAGCCTGTCCAGAAAAATGTTAAAAGAAATAGGGTGGCAGTTCCAGGACTGGAGTCTCCTCAAGGCAAGGAGACATTTAAAAAAAGGAAGATCAACTATGCCTCTGCTTGCTTCTATTCTCACCCTCTTTTTTTTTTTATGGTGGCTCCACAGATTCCAGTCTAACTATGTAACAAGCCAAGCAGCTGCTGATTAGGGTTAGGGTTAGGTCTCCTTTCCTGCAACTCAAAGATGCCTTGCTAACCATTCTTTTAAGGACATATCTTATTGTCTTCATGATCATCCCCAGCTTATTGCCTGGGTCATTGATCTTTGCATTTAGCTAATCTGAAGTTCAAGTGGAGTTTTTCATTGTCTGACACAAGATTTTCTGTGTGCATGGTTAGGCAGTGGTGCTGATGAGGTCAAGGGCTGGGAACTACCCCACTCCTATTGGCTCCTTTCAGCTGCAGGACACATGCCCACTTTTTCCAGTCCTGCCAACTGCTGGTGTGTGTGTGTGTGAGAGAGAGAGAGAGAGAGAGAGAATCTTCCAAAGAGGAAGGGGTGTGGGCTCTCCACACAAAATTTACACCTCATTTGTTAAATGCCTCCATCTAAAAGGTGGCTGTTGATGTGCAACTCCTATTTTGTTCCCTTTTGCAAAGGGACCGATGTTTTTGCCATCCTGGCAGTGGGAGTGGCCAAGGGGGCATGCCACCATGGCAGGGCAGGAAGGGGTGGCAGGGGAAATGAGAAATCTGCCCACCAGCCCCTGCCACAGCTCCCCCACGCCCGGTTAGCTCTTTTGAAATAGAGGGAGACAGCAAGTGTGAGAGAGAAGAGAATGAACAAGGGAAAGGCTGGGTGAGAATGTGCCAATGATAGAGTGAGTAACAGCAAGAGAAAGTGCAAAGAGGGTTGAGGGAGGGAGAAAAATGATGGAGTGAAGAAGAGACAACATGAAAAATATGGAGGGGGGGGAAAGAGACGGGGGGATTATCTGCAGATCACCCATGGGGGTACTGAGGGTCCATCCATCCATCCATCAAAACTCCTCTTCACTCCCTGTTCTACCCCATGGTATGGAGGGTGATTGGGGGGGGGGGTTTTAAGGAAAGCACATTACATTGGCTCTCAGGATGGGCTCAGCCTCCCTGAAAACAAAGCTGGGCCCCGGCAATTTCACTCAAGTCCTTTTTGGGCTCTTGCCAACCGCACAGCAGCGGTTGGCCACCGTTGTTTTTCGATT